ACTTTTATGGGTAAGTTCATAGGACATTTTATACATTTTTATGAAGTGTTACTTCATATAAGTAGAATTATTTTATTTAATAAACACTGTTTGATGTTTATTAAATAACATCAAACAGTGTTTATAAAGCTTTTCACAGTTAGGCTACATATTTACTATGTGCATACTCAAATCTATGTCTAGAAGTACAGTTCTTATCAAAAATTCTAGTTGAATATCATGACTATTGACAGTATTTTGCACTTTTGTTTGTTTTGTAATATTAATCATTAACTATTCTTTGTAGCCTATTAATACTTCAATCTTAATATCATGCACTTTTATTGCATTTCTTAAGAATGCATTTTTAATAAGGTTGAGGTCTACATTATCAAGTTTGGTTGTCTCAATTTGTAATCGTACATGTAACATTAAATCTCATTTCTCTACTGTAATTCTTACTTAATTCTTTCTTTTACTATATTTCTACACTCAAATATGAAAATTAATACATACAGTACGCATTAACTGAGTTCTCAAAATCCAGTTTTCATAATCTGGACTTAATGAGCATCCATTTCACTTCTATCAACTGAAATTTGTGTGCATTCTTTTACAAAGCAGAACATTCTGTTCTCTTATTTTGCTATGATTCTGACTGAATACATAGTATATGATTTATCTATTTACTATATAAGTATCCATTTATACTGCAAGATAAACAAGATGCTAAAACTTTCATGAGAACTAACATAAACCCAGTTGTAAATCATTGCCCAAGAAAAAGTTCTGAGTAAACAGAGTGAAAAGATAATCTTTTGTGATGGGTTAAGGGCAGTTAGTAGGTCATTCTTTGTCTTACAATAGCTCAACTATAGCAATATTCTTCAATGTCAAAACAGACATTATTCTCCAAAATATTTCCATATTTGAATAATTTTTATATTTTCGACATTGAAGTTTGGCTAGCATTATGACAAAGTTAAAACAGCCAAATTATAGCCTGAAAAAATTTGTTTTATTCCATCACACTATTCCTTCAATTAGTATTCTTCCTACATAAAATAACAAATGTTTATAATTGTTATCTTTAGCACTTTTGCCATTTAAGAAATCTTCCAATCTGATATAAGAAGAATGCCTATAAGAAAACAGCTTTTGTGTGTGTTCATTCTTGAAAATGATTCATTAACCAGGTTAAGGCTGGAAACAGTCCATTAATGCATTTTTACTTCATGAAATTCCTACATCTTTGCTTAAATAATTATTCCTTAAATTTTACAGTAATTTTTATATAATGTCAGCATTATACAGTGGTTCCTTGTACTTGGAATTCAATTCATTCCAGGAGGTTTTTCGAAGTCTGAATCAATTTTTCCCATTAGAAATAGCGAGGTTGTGGCCGAAGTTTTCAATGTGAAAATATGAACGTCAGATGTTCAGTGCCATCATCCTGTAAGCCTAGAAGTTTGACAATGGCGTTTGGAGCGTCAAGCATGATTCCACTGACATTCCAAATGCCATTGTCAAACTTCTAGGCTTACAGGATGATGGCACTAAACATCAGACATTCAAGTTTTCGTGTTGAAAACGTCAGCCGCAACTCCGCTAATAATGAAAAGTCAATTAATCTATTCCCAGACCTTAAACAATACCCACTTCAATAAACTTAAAACAGAAAATACACACAATTTAAGGTAAAAATTTCACTATTAAATGCCCTAACAGTAAATTAACACATGAAGAACATAAATAAAATACTTAAATACTGTATAATAAAATGAAAGTTGCATTTGCTAGTTGAAAACTGTGGACTTCAGCATTTTAACATACAGTATATGTATGATTTAATGAAGTAACAATAACACCTTCTGCTGCTCAGAAATGTTTATTAAAACTAAAACACATTTTCAACTTAATACAATAGGTCATCTTCAGGTATAACTGAATTCAAACACCTCTTCAAAAATTTTTTATTTTATTTTACTTTTGTTATACAGTCGGCCCACCTATAACATGGGTTCTTATAGTTCAGATTCCTATATCACGGTGAAAAAATTGCGACAGTATTCGTACAAACATGCTAAAAAACTCCTATAATCCGGTAAAACATCATCGCTGACTCGTGTCGCAACAGGATTAGTCAAATCTAGACCAATAGTGGATATTGCACAAACCGCTGAACTGAAAATGTGGCTAGGAGGGCATAGGTTCAAGACTAATGATGATCTTCAAAACAACGTTACAGCCCATCTAGTCATTGGCAGCAACATTCTATGAAGACGGGATGGAAAAGCTCGTCCACAAATGCCTCAATCTTCACAGTGATTATATCGAAAAGTAATCATGTTTGTACCTAACTTTTGATAATAAACTCATTTTGATATTTACACTTGTCTTTGTTTGACCATCAGAGCTTAAAAAAAAAAAACAAACAAACAAAAAAACAGCCTACGTATAAAGTGTATTGACAAAATGTATGCAAGTTTAGTTTCACAACAAATACATAATAATACATAAAAAATTTCAAAATTGTTTTCTCGTTTTTTTGTTTGTAAATCAATCAATTACTTTCTCCAGATCAAGTTGACAAGCTATTGCTTATTCACTTGATATAGAAGCCAAAGAACTAGGACAGTGTTGTGACATGCTGCTTTTTAATACTGGAGTGGAAATATAGCACCAAACCGTCTTGTAGTACCTTCTAAACAATTCTCCAGCAGCATAATACCTTGGTAATGATTAATGATTTTGATCCTTCAGCTGGATCTAATCAAACATGTCTCCAGGTTAAATTAGTCACATGATGTCATTGTTATAAAGTGGGATACAAGATATTAAACCCATTTCAAACTGTTATTTCTTTAAACTTTTAAAAATTTTAAATTTTGATGTTATTAAAGGGCATGGATGTGGTTTAAAGTAATATCTGCCATGCTTAGGACAAATGTTTTTCATCCTTGGAATGCTTCTCCCTTGTTTTTCAGCTTTATATATTTCCAGTGATTCTAAGGCTCTAATATTTTCCGATCGTTTGGCTCTCTTAATGGTGGCAGCATTTTGTAGAACAACATGAGGAAGATCCAGCTAAAGGATCAAAAACATTAGTTATCATCAAGGTATTAAGCTACTGAAGAATTGTTTAGAAGGTACTACAAAGATGGTTTGGTGCTATAAGGTTGAAGATAATCAAATGAACAGAAAAATAAAAATAACAGATAAATCAACAATAGTATATTGAATATATTTTTATTTTTTCAACAAATTATTATAACTAGCAGACATGAAGACAACTATAATAAAAAACAAAAAGGAAAGCCCATTAGGGGATCTGTATACAAGTAAATCCAAGAGAGGTATTTTTATCTTTTTCTTGTAATTATAATAAATTCTAGCAAATGCTTAATAAAAATTGACGAATAAAATTTTTAGAAATTATTGTGAACATTTATATATGGTAACTGGAGATTTTTTGAAGGTTTTAATGAAGAATATCTTATGTACTGTACTGTACATTACAGAGCATCTAACAATAGATGGTTGGATGGCTGAGCGATCAAGGTGGCAGCCTACCACTCTGGGGACCCGGGATTGAATCAAGATGGGTTGAAAAATCCCAGGAATTTTTTTGGGGGTTCAACCAGATATGTTGGCCTGTCTTTACCACCCAGCCTCCCCATTGTGGGCCTGGCCAAACCCATAACAGGCTTGCTATAAGAGGCCCCTTAATGACCGACAGGGCGGAGAGAGTTAAAAAAAAACAGCATCTAACAATATTAAAATTTTTGTCTTTAAACAAAAACTTCAACTTCTACATTCAGAAATATTTTTATTTTGCCAAAATAAATAAAAATCTTTATCTTTTATCATATAATGCCAGCATATCCTGTACATGTCTATTACATATAATTTGAAATATTTAATTAAAATAAAATACTGGTTTTATGAACATATCTTTTATCATTAGCACTGTATAAAATTTTGTTATATTTATTTTTCTTATTATAAATAATTTAATATGTAACTTTATTTAAACAGTAATTTAATTCAGTAACAACAACAACAGAAATCTTTAATAATTACTTATTTAATACTGTATATTAAAATTTACCAATTGGGACACTCACAACTGGTTAAGTAGCAAAAAGTCTTAATAATTAACATTTTCTGTGTTATTGAAAGATGTAAATCTCACAATTTAGAACACAAGAAAATAGAACATAAGCTTTGGGAATGTTTAAAATTTTAAGTTGAAACAAAAAATAAAATGCAAAAAAATACTATAAATACAAAAATGTAAAATAAATGTTATCCTCGAGAGCAAAACAAAAGTTACAAATAAATATAAACAAGGAGATAAAAATTACACCACAACATGCTATCTTCCACATGGAAGGCATGGTTTTAGATCAACACCCCAGTAACTTGAAAGAATTTTTTTAATCACATATATATGCATCTTTACTGTTTTTTTTTTTATTTCTTGTTTACATTTATTTGTAACTTTTGTTTTTTTTTTTCTCTGCTCAAGGGAAACATTTATATATTTTATAATTTATTTATTTTATTTCTATTTTATTGTATTTATAATGTTCATTTATATTACTTTATTTTGTTTTAATTTAAAATGTTCAGCATTGCAAAACTTATGTTCTATTTTCGTGCATTCTAAATTGTTAGACTTACAACATTCAATGGAATCTTTGTAAACCTGAAGATGGTCTTTCAATACGATTGAAAACATTAGTTATTAAAGGAATTTTTGCTACTTAGAAAGGTTGAGTGTGTCATTTTTATATTAAAATTTACCAGATTTACTTATTGAATTAGGAATTTATTCATTAATTGTAAATTTAATTTAGAAAAACTTTATATTTATAATTAGATTTTAGCTTAATTTCACATATGCAAAAACATGGAAACTATGTTTTTGCATATGTACTAAATTTAAAAATGAAAAGTTTTTATAAATATTTGTATTAATGAAATTTTTCAAATCAATCATACATTATTATACTTACATTTTTCTTACCATTATTCAAAACTTGACATTCAAAACTTGATAAACTGAGTGAAAACGTATTTGTGATGATAGGAGACCATGAGGAACGTTCAATTGGTTCAATATTTACAGAATAATCTTTCTTCTCTTTGCATTCATTAGAAACACTATCACTGGACTTTTGTTTCTTTATGACTGAAAGTTTTATAACACCATGTATATTGTGCTCTTTTTTCAAATGATCAATTAAACTTGTTTTGGAAAGTAAAGATTTATAACAAGTTGCACAAATGTACTTTAATACCGTATTGTATCTCCAGTCTCCAGTAGCAGAATCAAATTCAACCATCCAACCATCACAGTTTGATAGTTTAACAATTTTGTTCTTAGAGTCTAAAGTGCTCTTCAAAGATTCTTGTTTTTTTTGTTTTTCTTGTGCAATACTCCTGGAAGACATTTCTTTTATGCACTTAGCAATTTTATCTGCAAACTCTATAGAAGATAAACTAGGAATTGGTTCATTTAAGGAAGATTCTTTTTTAACTATATTATTATGTACCACCATCTTACAAGTTTCTACACTAGATTTATCAGATAACTGATATATTTTTTCTTCACTTTGTTCATTGTGTTTAGATGTACATATTTCTGAAAAAGAATTATGACAAATATTTACATTATTTGGTTTATGAATAATTTTACTTTTTACTGGTTTTTTCAGTTTTTTCCTCTTTTTGGCCATTTGTCTGTAAAACGTCCTACATGCATATGAAAAAGTTAAATGACCTGTGAAAAATTCAACATTTTGAAAAATGTTCTTGCAATTTTTACACGAAAAACAAGTTAAATTGTTATATTTTTTGAATTCACTTGGCCAAAGAGGTTTCAAGAATTTCATTTGATGATTTTTACTACATTTATGAATTTTCATATGAATTGATGCTTGAAGATAAGGCCTTACTTGACCACATATACAAACAAATTTATGAGAATATATTGTTGTATGAAATTGTGTAAGCTTATGAAATTTCTTTTCATAATCAGAAAATACATTAATTAATAAATTTTCATCATCAATAATCCTTTTTTTATTTGAATTACTTTTGGATAAATTTTCACTAAATTCACAATTTTTTTGTGTGTTTGTAGAATTATTAACTAGAATTTTAGATGACGAAAATATTTCATTATATCTTTGCCGATATGAAAGACAATGTTTCTTTTGTGTACCTATTCGTTTAGAATGACCATTTTTACACAGTAATTGGGCCATTAACATTATTTTACTGCCTGTCAAAGGCTCTAAATGCACAGAACATGAGGTCATATGCTTCAAAATTTGTTTGCATGGATGGAACTTCAATTTTTGTTTGCTATCAAAACAAAGTCCACATCGTGGACAATATAACTTAACTGAAGACATTTTCTTTTCAAAACACTTTGAAAGAGGAAATGTTTTTGAACTGACTTTGGCAGGAAATTTTAATAATTGTTCATCTACATTATTATTAAGCCTTTTAACTTTATTCTTTATATCATTAAGTTTATCAATTTTACACAATGGAAGATGTGCATTAAATAATGGTATAGTAGTAAAAACTTTATTGCATTTATTGCATTCCCAAATCTTCTTATCAGGTAAAGATTGTTGTAAATCTACTTTCTCATTAAGCCTCATTATATTATTTGAGGTATTTTCTGATGATAATTTATTAGCTAAATAATTTTTGCAATTTTTAGCATGATCTGTATAAGCTGATACCTCTGTAAAAATATTTAAGCAATAACAACATATTACACCTATGTTTTCAGACCCTTTATTTTTACAGCAATCATCTAAATGTGCTTCAAAACTAGGAATATTAGAGAAGTGGCATGCACAAAAGTAACATTTTAATTTTAATTTATCACAGCAAGCAATTTCTGTTGAAACTTCAATATCAGATTGAAAAGTTTTTGAACTAATAGGTTTATAAAGTATGCTTTGTGATGTAAATGCAAGTGTTAGATCACTATTCATTAATTTCTTAAAATCTTGACTCAGTGCAAATTTCAACCAACAAAATACACAAAGTTTTCCTTTACCATAGATAGTATGTCCACAAGTTATGCAGCTCATGTTTTGAGACTTAGATAAATTATGTTCTAATGGAGAAACAACTGATTTATCATGACTAATATTAGTAAAAGAATTTTGTCTTTCATTATTTTCCTGTTTATCCTGTTCTGATGATATACTTGCAGTTTGAGGTTTTTCAATATAAGCTTGAGGTTTTATTTGCATTACAGAAATTTTGCAAGATGCACTATGATCTAAAAGTAATAATTTTGAAGTAAAATATTTGTTACAATTATTACAAACCCATGTACTTTTTATTTCTAAATTATCACATTTCTTTAATGGACACTGTTGGATGTGAGCAATGAGTGATTTTTGATCACAGAAATTATTCTTGCAGTATTCACAACATAAAATATTGTAATTTCTATTAAATATAGTGGGAGAATTTATATTTTGGTATGTTTTTGTCACATGTACAGATGCTACATGATTATTTAAACATTCTATCTTTTTAAACACCATTGAACAATAAGGACATCGATAAGGTATCTCACGAGATTTTAACTGACTGAGACAAAATGGATATTGACATTCAATACAATGGATGTTGGCAGAATTTGTTTTATTTAATTGATATGGATGTAATCTTGGAATAAATGATGCATTAATAGAATTACATGATATATTTTCAATTGAATTCCTTGGATTACAACTTATATTCTCAACAGAATTTCTTACATATGGAAAGCATTGTGTTGGTGGCCTTAGAGGGCTTAACATAGGATTAAAAAAGTTTGGAACATTTTGAGGAAAATTCACAGGTGGTGTCATCCTTATTCCAGATGATGGAAACATATAAGAATTAAAAACAGGAGGTGCAAAATTCAGTTCATTATTATATAAATTAGGAATTGAGGAATTATTTCTATGATTAATTGATGGAATATTAAAATTTGTAGTTCTTGATAAAATTTCTTTATTATGAGATACTGAATCAATGGCTCTTGTAAATGTTCTCAAATGTGAAGAATAAACACTGTCTTTTGTATTGAGCTGCTTCTGATTGCAGAAATTTGCCAAAGCTAGCAAACTTGAACTTTTAGGTGAAAGACTCAAATTTGGTTGTGTCATTCCAGCTGTAGGTACAAAAGAAGTTGAAAAATCATTTGATCTATTATCAAATCTTGAAGAATTATAAACTGTATTTGTTCCAGGATTACTAATGTTTAAATTTGAATTCATTGTATTTGATGAATCAAAAACTCTAGAACAATTTGGAATTCCATTTAGAAGAATATTTGAGTTTGGTGATTCAGTAGATGATGACATAAATCTTGGGGAATTAGACGTAAATGAACCTGCCATAGAAAGACCAAGCGATTCCCAATTTGAATTTACAGAATTAATATTTAGCAAAGAATTATATCCTGAAGAACTAGTTATTGTATCTGTTATAGGTGTACTAGTATTAACCTTTGACGAATCTTGAGTTATTGTATCAACATCAAATCTAGAATAGGCAGTAGTTGATAGATTTGGCATTTCAGTGTTTAAATTTGAAACTGTTGAATTTAATGGGAGAATATTTAGTCCTGAAAAATTAGATGCTATATTTGGTAATGAAATATTCGTTTTTACATTTGATAATTCATCTGTAAACAAACCATTATCAAATTTTGAAGAATTAGAAGTATTTATACTTGATACTGAAATTTCATTACATAAATTTGTTGTATTTGAAGGTGTCTCCTTATATCTCTTAGTAATTGTTGTTTTCTCTGTACCAGAATTATTCAAGTTTGTTGAATTGCAAAGTTTAATTTCAAGTGAAGAATGATTAGATGACTCTGAAAAACTCGTTTTAGCCAAATCTCTAGTGGAAACAGAATGTGCAATTAAAGAACTTGGTATTGTTACAGGACTAGTTATATTCACAACATTGTCAGATTTTACAGAATCTAATTTTGAAGTTTCAGAGGATGAACAAGTAGTACTTAAATTTGAAATTGTTGAATTAACTGCAAGAGTATTGACTAAAGTTAATGACTGTGAGATACTTGTAGAAATACTTGGTTTTGGAGAATTTTCTGAGAATTTTTCACAATTAATTGGATTTATTGAAATATTTTCATTGACATTTGATATATTATTAGAATCTAATTTTGAAATATCAGATAATGGATGAATTGGTTCATCTGAATTCTTAGAATTATCAGAAAGAATATTAGCAAGTTTAGAACAGTTAGATGTATTTAAATGAATACTAGAATCAGTAGAATTAGATAAATCAGAATTCAAATGATTGTGTGTTTCTTCATTTGCTGAATTAATTGAGAAAATTATATCTGACTTTGGAGTATTTGATGAGTCATTTGATGAATTTGATGTATTTATCTGAATACTAGATTCAACAGAACTTAATGATTCTGGACTTATTGGATTACTTGATTCTATATTTGATAAATTAACTGAGAGAATTTCATCCATAGTTGGAATGTTTTCTGAAATATTAGATGCAATATCTAATTTAGATGATTTAGAAGGTGATGCAGCTGAAAGACATTCATGTTTATTGAATGATTCTTTATCCATAAACTGAATGTTGCATTCAATACATTGCCAAGAATGAATATGATTATTATTTATAATCTTTTTACGTTTTGATGATATACCATTGGTAGCAGTTACTTTCATTCCTTCACAACTACGTAATGGAACTTTTGGGCGGCGTTTGCAAAAGTTAAGGTGTACGTCATATGTACAATTTATGTCATCAAGTTTTGTTCCACAATGAGGACATCTATTTCTTTGAAAAGCATGCTCCTTCATATGCTTACGTAAATGATTTGATGTGGGAAATGTTTTCTCACAATAATTACAAGGAACTTTTCCTTTCAGATGAAAAAAGCGCATATGTTCTAACAAATTTCCTTTGAATTTAAATGGAAATTGGCATAATTTACATACCCATGGTCTAGGAGTATCATGAGGTCCTTTTGCTTTGAATACAAAGCTGTTTGAAATATTTATATCACAACTGTTATCTAGATTTTCAGAAATGTCTGAATCCATTATCTCAAGACATCAAAAAATATATATAGTTTTTTCACAGTTTTAAATGTTCATGTTGATTTCTTCTTTATAATTCCAATATTAAAATTTTCTATTGACCATCTTTGCATAAGTAGCATCTTCTTAATTTCCATAACAATAAAAGTCTNAAAAAGCCAACGGCCACTTTCAACCATCTGTCGATGACCGTTACGACTAAAAAAAACTTCGCTAGGTCTTACTTTCGGGGGGAGGTATTATATTTCGCAATTCAGCAAAATCTGTGCTAAGTCTTATTTTCTGCGGATGTCTTATTTTCGGGGAAACACGGTAATTAGAAAGTTTTATTTCCTGTCTATGAAATACTTAAGATATACAGTATGTTAATTATCAGCATCTTGAAACATTTGTTCATAACAAATTAATTTTACTAAGCATTTTTTTGTAATAAATTCATCTACCAAATAATTAATTTTAAGAAATTTGTCCTTCATTACTGAAAATTTGTTTCCTATTATTTACCTATAATCTTGCTAGAAATGATAAATGTGATTCCAATAAATGTTGATCCTCTACTGATTTTTTATTGAAGCATTTCAGTTTTCTGTATTTGTATTTCTGATTCCATTTTTGATGAAATGAAATGGTAAAACTGCAAATAAACAAATTTTAAGTCTGTTAGAAAAGCAGTTCTACCATTTCATTTAACACTTTTTTTTTTAAACTACTAGGATTTATAATTTAACATAAAAGTTGCTTTAAAAATTATTAGTCTAAAGAAATTACTTTTATAAACTAATTCATTAATTAAAGAATTTTTTTTATTCACTTAACATTAAACAATTATATACACATATCATCATCTCTCTGCTTTCAACATATTTTTAAAATATCTTCAATCATTATTTTTTATATTAAACATGTATTTTATGAGGGCTGTTCAGAAAGTTCACAGCCTTGTCTATATGCGGCACTGCGATCAATTTAATTTTTGGCGGGAATAATTAAGCCATCTTTGCTAAAGATACGATACCAAATTTCCGCTTGTTTTGTCATAAAGTTTTGCCACAACAGCTTAGCAGATAGTCAGTCTGCACATGCTTTGTCAAAAATGGAGAAGACAGAGACTCGTGCAGTCATAAAATACCTGATAAAAAAAGGGTTGACCCCATCTCAAATCAAAGCTGACATGAATGAAGTTTTGGGAGAGTCTGCTCCTTCATACACCACTGTGAAAAAATGGACAGCCCTTTTTAAATCTGGCAGAGTGTGTGTGGAAGAAGACCCTCACAGTGGATGGCCGTCAACTGCTGTCACTGAAGAAAATATCGACAAAGTTCACGATTTGGTATTAGCAGATCACTGTTTGAAAATGCGTGAGATAGCTGAGACAACAGGCATCTCTGTCAACCAAGTGCACCACATCCTAACAGAAAATTTGGGTATGACGAAGGTCTCAGCAAGGTGGATGCCGTGTCTGCTGACCGCTGAGTAAAAACATGTTCGCACTTTGATGTCAAAGGAGTGTTTGGACTTCTACCAGTAAAACCCACAGGATTTCTTGCGTCAGTTTGTGATTACTGACGAAACATGGCTCCATTACTACACTCCCGAAACAAAAAAAAAACAGTCAAAGCAATGGAAACATCACAGTTCGTCACCACCAAAGAAGGCAAAGACAGTTCCATCAGCAGGGAAAGTGATGGCCTCGGTTTTTTGGGATGCTAAAGGCATCATCTTTATTGACTACCTAGAAAGAGGAAAGACCATCAATGCTGTCTATTACTGTGAACTTTTGGANCTTTTAATTATAAATATTTTAAAATCTTTTTTAAAGACCATCTTCAGGTAAAATACAGAATAGATAAAAGCTTTGGATTCTAACCAACATTTGCTGTTTCAAAGCTTTTATATTATATTGTATTCTTTCATTTCATTCAATATGCCATGTCTTTAGTTCTCTCTACATCAATCCACACTTCAATTGATATTTGTAGACACTACTACTTCAACCTTTATCTTGAAAGCTGATAAATATCTGATAATGGCTCTCAGAGAACCATTTAGAGACTGACTAGCTTTTTTTGTACATTACTTCTTTACACAGAATAAAAAGCTGGATGATCAAATCTTGAATCCATGTTATTGGATATTGTTGACAAAAAAATTAATTAGAAAAATTTTAAAGTTTATCTCAGCAAGAAAGATGTATTTGTTACTGGCAAAACCCGATTTCAGGCCAAACAGATTTGTCCTATACGTATCAGGATATTATATTTTGGCCTAAATACTTTAGGCTTAACTACTTTGACCTAGGCTGAACTGATTTAGAATTATTGTTCAAGTATGTTAATGGTTAAAATAAAATTAAGCAATCAATTAAATGAACAATATTTATTCAAACAGTCTACTTAATTATAAAAACAGTATTGATTAGAAGTGGCACAACACTTGTACAAAACTACAAAATAAAAATAAGCTAATCAGTACTTATCAGTTTGTATTTTTTTTTAAGCCATGCACTTTTAAAGGCAATTAACTTTCGAAAATATTTTCAAAAATTCAAACAAAATAATAAAAATAATTTTTAGAGTCAAACTAAAATTAAAAATTAACTTATTTGTGCTTCTTAGTGTAGCATATAAAATATTTAATCTTTTATTTATTTTTACAGGGTGTACTGTGGTGGCATTATGAATTACACAAAATCATTTTTTTTTACACTGGCAACTATTTGTAGCACAGTTTTTGGTACAAGTGTACCTCATAAAACCTTGTCCTGTCCCAACTGAATGTTTGGTAGCTGCAGTCCTTAGTGAGATTTGAACATCTTGATTAACATCACTTTCTTGTAGAAATTTTTGAGTACAAAGGTCAAATTCAGTTCTGTAATAAACAAATATTTTATTTTGACCAAATTACATAACATACTTATGCTTTTTAGATCAAACAAAACGGCGTTTAACATTGCGCTTTTTTCTTCGAAGATCTTTATCAGGCCTTCATTGTAAGTAAATATTATACAAAAACCCCCTCTGAAAAAATTCATAAAACTTGAATACCTCTTCCAAATATAAAAACAATAATCATCGAAATCAGTTCAGATTTGACAGTGAAATTGAGTAACAATGTCATTAAAAAATAATTTATTTTTTTAAAGTAATTTGAGAAAAAATAAATAATAACATGCATAACTAACTTGCAATAGAGTGTCTGCAATATTCCATGCTTAGTTCCAATTTTGTACAGGCCTTCATTGTTTATTTCAAGAACAATGTTAATAACATTTCTTAGGTTGTCCCTTCCTCTGTCTACATCAGGAATCGGCACAGTCACATTATCTCCCACTTTAGATGGCGGATGCGATTTGTCAGAAGCAGATTTCATTTTTTTTGCATGTTTCTGAAGGTTTTCAGCAGCTGTTTATCTTGCCTTTTGGATATCATCACTAATTTTAGAAGTTTCAGTATCATTACCATCACTATCATCTCCCGAATCATTATGATAATTTGTCTGTCTATGGGTTAAATCGGTTTCAATAAGTTTTTGAAAGTCATCTTCATCTTGAATATCCTTTATTATTTCTGGTAGTAGTGATGATATTGAAAGACCAACTCTGGGTTCAACTCCAAACATAGCTTTGTAAGATGATTGTTTTATGCCCGAATGATAGGCCCTGTTTTTCATAAATTGTACATACCTCAAGCCTTCTGACCATTTAGTCGATTGATTATCTTTTAGTCAACAACTGATCATCTTCTCGACATCTTGGTTGGCTCTCTCAACTGAGCCCTGACTTTGGATGTGCCATGATTTTCCATGTACTATCTTCTGGCCAAAGACATGCTATTTCACATATAATACAATTGATGAATTCTCCTCCATTGTTTGACTGCAAAATACATGGGGCACCTATTGTCAAAAATATGTCATTCAAATGGTAGGCTACTTCTTCAGCTTGTTTAGATTCTAAAGCACGAAGCAAAATAAACTTGGTCAAGTGGTCTTGGTAGACCATGATAAATTTAAACTTTCCATCAGGTTGAGTCTGAAAATCAATGAGATCCACTTGGCACCTACTGTTCATTTCAGAATGTAAAATTGGCTTAGAAACTAAACCTCTCCTTTTTTGTCTTCTTTTCTTGACATGTTACACACATTGATAAATAAAGGTTAATCATCTGTTTTGTGATATTAGCATATTTTAAAGATGTCTCAGCCAATAATCTGTCACGTCTGACAGCTCTGTGAGCTGCATCAATAATATCATACAATTCCTCAGCCAGAATAAAGTATTTTATGTTCCCTTCACTACAGGCAACAAGTTTTTTAACAGAACCAATGTTTAAAGTTGCAAACCTTTTTAATCGCCTTTGATGAAGCGGTGTCTTAACTTGAGCTTTTTCAGCCTCTTCCACTTGTAGGATAAGATCTAAGTATTTATCCTTTGCTAAAACATTAAAATGAGAAGATTTTATATTTTCACTTTGCAAAATTTCTTTTAAAAACTGCTCTCTCCATTTTAACTGATCAACTTGAACACTAGATGATGACTCATCCATAACATTATGAAAACAACACAAAACTTTTAAACTAGATACATTCAAAAAATCAAATTAATACAGCTTTACAAATTGCACATAGGTACACAAGTCACAACACGACTGCGCGTAAGAGTGAATTCTCATTTTTCACCGAATGCTTGCCCTCTGGTGTTTAAAAATAAAACTATTTTATCTGGGCCATTTGAATCTTCTTTTGTATTAGCAGTAAAGATAAATAGCGATAGAGAAGCTCTCTGTTGAGTTTCAAATTGAAATTTCAAAGCCATACGGGAGCCCAATATAAGTTTTAGTCTATTCCCACATGAAAAATATATGATTATTCGAAAATCGGTCAGCTATATTTATTAGCTTCTCCAAATTCTGAAAGATGGATTAGACCGTTAAGAATTGGCAAAAGTTTGCTGATTGTCCAGCTTTATATGAACAAGTTATGCTGTCAATTTTAAAGGATTTTTCCTTAAAGTTTAAAATGCCAGTAATTTTGTGGGGGATGTCAGAGCTAATGTTTTTTAACACAAAGGGCACAAATATGTATAGAATGATCTCACTCATTTGTTTTGATACCACGTAATGACATGTCCCGCTAGCAATAATTGTTCTCCTTCTATAAAATTTCTCGATTATCAGCTATAAGCAGCATATATCATATGGTTCATATTTAAAAATTTTTTTAAAATTCTCGGTTATACATTTTTCAAATAATCTTAAGAATGTTCCATTTCTGCATTCCATTTGAGAAAACTTTAACCTGAGGAAGATCTCCTGTGTAGATAAAAAATGTTTGTGTTTGCATTAAAATATCCTGGAATTGTACTTTTAAGGTTCAGAGGCATGCTGTTTTTATGATATATATGATTATATCAGACAGTAATATATGATTAATTTTACATTACTAGTTACAAATGACCCAGATAAAGTAGCCATTTTGTAAAATGCAGGCCCTCTATAGTTCATGAAAAACACAAATAGACAACGAAAGCATGATAGAAAGGGGAACGAGAGGGAAATCCCCGCATTAACAGGTACCAATGTGTTTATTTTATCACTTGCAATGAATAAATCAGTTTGGCCTAGGTCAAACTAGTTAAGTCTAAAGTATTAAGGCCAAACTAGATTGTCCTGGGCTAAACTAGTATATCCTGACTCGTGTAGCTTGGCCTGAAATCAGGTTTGGCGGTAACATATACAAACAGTACATATGTTGTTTCACCACTCACAGTGAACGAGTGTTGGAATAACATATGTGTTTATTGCTTTAAATTTGTGATGTTAATAATAATAATAGTCATCAAACTCACAGACAAACAATACAATAAAATCAGATACATTATAGACAAATCCATTACAATGTCACAATGTACAAAACACATGCACTGAAAAAAATCAGCAAGTACACCGAACTCATCCAGGAAATAAGAGCTGTGGAAGATGGATAGGGTGCTTATTATACCCATTATTCTCTCCTCTACAGGTGTCATACCATACACACTAAACAAAAGCCTGAGAACAATACAGTTGAACAGAACATACACCACACTACAGAAGGACACTATATTGAATACATGTCATATTGTTTAGGAAATTTCTGAATACAGAAGCACACTGACACATTTATTTAATTTTTGTTTTGTTTTGGTTGCTATGCCTTGACTCTGGTCCAGCATAGAACACAGCAACAGTGCCAACCGAGTATAACCCTATAACCCACTAAACCCAAAATAATAATAATAATGCTGACAATATCAACATTTCTTGATTGCCTGAAGTAGATTTAAGTTTAATTCATACTCTCTCTTCTTTTCCAAGAAGCACTCACTAAATTTACAGGCACTGATCCTGAATAATGGCCATGTATTCTCAAAATCAACACTTCCAAGCTAGGAGGGAAAACTATTATGTGAACACTTACATATTACCAGATTGCACTATTATATTTTACACAATCAGACATTCGCACACTAGTTTATGCAGGTGCAGTCACAATAGTGATCTACCATGGAATAAAACTACATCCACAGACAGAAGCATACAAATCAAAAACCCCACAGAAGCCTGCTTGGCAAAGAAGAAAAGAAATACAAATAAAAATATTAGACAGCAGCTAGGCAGGTTGACACAATATGCTAACAACAAAACAACACTTAAATTAATGAAACAACTAAAAAAATTTTCAAGAAAATTAAAACACATATTAAGCACAAACAACACATAGCAGAATACATTAACATACTGAAACAAAAACTTGCAGCCAAAGCATGGCGACTCCAATGATACAAAATTTGCTCTGTATGGAAACAACAAAATAAATTATTCACAAACAACGAAAAAAATCTTCTACAGACAAATTAATACCAAATCTATTTCAGATTGCCAGCACAATGGCATACCAACTGAAGAAAAACTCACAAATTATTAATCTTCTTTTTGGTCTACTGCTGTCAAGTGCAATGCTAATGCAGACTGGATTAAAGAGGAGAGCAAAGACATACAGGATACACTTAGTTTGCATTGTGTTGAAATAAATACACAGGACATCTGTTGCACAATGCAGAAAGCACACAACTGAGTAGACTACATTCTATAAATAACAATGCTAAACCCCGATATACTATAAAGCTAGACTCCAACCGATGCCGAATTCTATCAGGCTAGATATGGCTAATTACTAAATAAATTATGCAACCAATTTGGCACTAGAAGGAGGGGTTAATAACTTTAATAATTATAATTATTAAAGTTATTAAGAGATGATGCCTAATGCCTCTCTCTAGTGCCAAATTGGTTGTATAATTTATTTAGTAATTAGCCATATTTATTTAGTAATTAACCTGACAGAATTTGGCATTAGTTGGAGTCTAGCTTTGTAGACAACATTCACAATTTCTGGTATAAAAAATTTACATCCTGCACCTGAAACTAGCTAAACATTTAACTCATATCATCATCAATTGACCAATCATGCAAATTTTTCTCATGTAGGGCATCACCTACATGAGAAAACACAGTACAAAAACACTGTACACCACCACCAAAAGACACTGCACAGTACAGACCAATTACATGTATTCGAATACCCTTACAAGATTCTTAACTCTTGCATTGAAAATAAAATATATAGTCATATTAATGAACACAACATTTTTATAGAACAACAAAAAGGCTGCCATAGAAATCACAAAGGTTGCAAAGAACTACTACTCATTGACTCTTATCCTATAGCATACATTGATTATAGAAAAGCATTTGACAGTATCTCACACATTTGGCTGCTGCACATACTTTGCAAATTCATCCCCCACTAATTAGTTTCTTTGCTTTTTACCATGCTTCACTGGAGAACAACCTCAATAACACTCACATAAATCAAATATACATCAGGCAAGAAATTTTTCAAAGAAATTCCTTGAGTCCTCTTTGGTTCTGCCTTGCACTTAATCCTTTATCTAATACATTGAACAAAACACTATGGTTGCAATATCAGATACAACAGTTCACATTATTACACCTCATGTACATGGATGATATTGAACTTAATGCATCCACACAAAATCTGCATTATCATTTCTTACAAACTACACGCACATACTCAAATGATATACAAATGAAGTTTGGTGTAGACAAATGCAAAACACCATATATTGAAAAAGGAATTCTGAAAAAAGGAGACTTTGTACTCAGAAGTGGAGATTTTATTGAATCCATGGAAGGAGAATCTTAAAAATATTTAGGATTCCAACAAGCCAAACTTACAAACATGCACAGATAAAACAAAGATTAACACTTGAATACCAGAACAGATTACATGCAGTACTAAAAACACACCTAAATGCAAAACATACTATTAAAGCTATTAATATACATGTTGTCCCTGTATTCACTTATTTTTTGGAGTTATACACTGAACACACACAGATCTTAAACACCTCCAAAGGAAAAAAGGAAAACAACAATGACACTTACTATGCATAAACAATATCACCCAAAATCATCTGTAGAAAGACTATCTCTTCCTTGTAAAGAATGTGGCCATGGCTTTACTAATATAGTTAATCTGCACTACAAATAAATTCTGAGACTGGACACTGAGGAAGTTTTTCCACAAAAAACAAGAAACATCAAGACTACATAAAGCTATAATTCTGGCAGACTACAACAGAGCCATAATCACAGATAAAATAATTCATCACAATAGATCTGACATCACTCTCATTGACAAATGCAGTAAGATCACATGGCACTACAGAAAGCTGCAATATTGAATACATGTCACATTGTTAGGAAGTTTCTAGATGTTGACACACATACCAATAACACAGCTTAATGATACACTTGTTTGGGTAGCTACTCTGACTTTAATCCAGCATAGCACTTGGAACCAGTATCAGCTGAGCATGATATTCACAATGTTATAATAATAATAATTATTATTAGATAAATAAAGCAGAAATGAAGCAAAAATTTTTATCATTCAGCATTTTTGGTAGATTCCTTTTGAAAGTGAAATAAAAGAAACAAGGGGAAAAACGAAAATATTTGAAATGGAACCTTCTAAACTGCATACAAATATCATGTTTTTAACAGTCAATTCTGAGTTGCAGAGTATGCCTTCGTACAGGTTACGTGAAAGTTTTATTTTAATTCTAGTAATTTTTGTAGGATGTATGTCCATGCAGGTCATCTGCATGAAATTAATTTAATTTAAGGTAACTCTAATCTATTTTAAAATGATAAGACTAATATTAATACAAAACAAAAAGTTTGGAAAAATTTTACATTTAATAAAATGTTATGTTTTATTATTTAAAAGAACAAAAAGATTTGAAAGTAGCAAACTAAAAATATTTCTATATATTTTTAATAGTAAAAATAATTCCATAAAGCAGAAGTAAGTATTATTTAAGAGAATGGATCAATCATTATTAATATTAGGTTATACTACATAAAATTGCTGTTTTGACTGTGTTGAAAATTGACTACAATTAGTGAAAATGATGTAAAGTGTATTTCTGGTCTGTTATAAATTTTAAATAACATTTATTATGCTCATCACTCTTCTTTGATTATCAAGTTATTTTTGTTATATTTTTCTGTAGAAATGCACAATATATTTTTTATACAAGTTTAAAATGGGACATAATAAAATTGAGGCAGTGGAAACATTTTCAACTTTTAAAAAACCAAGTAAAAAATTACTTGGCAGTGGTTCACATAACAATTTGTTTTGGGAATCTGAATCTCAAAAATGAAGATGGAAGAAAGTCTCAAA